CTAACAACAGCTGATCAAGCTTAAACGTGCTGCTGTTGTTTAGCGCGACATCCGCTGGTTTCCTCTTTCTGGCACAAAGTGAGCGATAAACAAACAAGAGAGAAAAGCCGATCAGCTGATCATTGATCAGTTTCATGATTGAAGTAGCAACAGGAGAGGCAGGGGAGAGGATGAGAGAAGAAGAGGCCGCTGACAGCGTAATGACGCAGAATAAATCCAGCTTTGTGTCTTTTTCCATCCTAGCTGAAGAAAACGTCAGCACAACGAAAATAAACTCCACCTAAACTTGGTTTATATCTGACCCAGATAGACTGCAGCTCATAACTTCTTACCTGAAGTTCAGTTCACCTGACACTCGGACCGGCGGCCGCCTCGGGTCTCTCCTTCTCCTGCCTCACCTTTCCCTCATCCACCTGCTGGAAGCTCCGCCATAGCCACCACCAAACAACTGAGTTATTTTTACAAATCTTCCAGCATCTGGCCAATCCACCACCTTTCATTGTTTATACCGTTACTACAAAATAAATAATAATAAGATCATCGGCCCATAAAAATGAAAAATCACCATCGGCCCACCGGGCAAATGCCCGATGGCCAGTCCAGCTATGGACGTGCCATCAGTTAACCCTTCGGCACGCGTGCCCAGGATTGCCGACCCCTGCTCTAAAGGATTCCTTTAGTTGTTCTTTTTGCAAATGCACCAAATCTGGTCCCTCCTAAAGTCCACTTTGGACCACACACTCAGAGTTCTGTGAGCAGCTACCAGATCCTTCGTTTCAAATCCAGTCAAGTGTTGTACAAAAGCAAAATTACTAATGTTGTGTCACTTTTCACGTACATGAGCCAGAGTGTGCAGAAACAATTAGAAGTTCAATATTACAGATGGGAACCATAATCTCCAGCTCATATTTATAGCCCACTGCGTCTCAATGTTAACCGATGAAGTTTCAGCAGATGTTAGATGTTATCTTTCATTCCCTCATATGTCTTTACTGAATGACAGTAACATTAGGAGGGAATTTCGTGCTAGACTATCTTTAGACGACGCCAACTTGATTTGGCTAACTTGTACTTGCCAAAGGCTCTTATCCCCCATTACTCAAAATTGGAATTGCATTAGGAAGGGATCAACTTACAGCAAGTGTGGGCTGGAAGAAACATTACAGGCGCACTAACTCTTTCATTGTACTGTGAGTGTTAAAGTTAAAAGCATAAATCTGGAAAAACTTGTTTGACTAAAAAAAATCTCTTAGTTATATTTTTCCCACAAATTAAGGTTTAAATAAAAACGTGGGAAACGCGGGGCTTTGAGCTAAATGCTAACAGCAGAACGTGAACATGTGGTTGAGCTAAGCTTTTGTTGAGACACTCAAGTCTGAGCTGTAAATATCAGCGCCATAAAAATGTGGTCATCAGAGTCATTTTGATTCACTGCTGAGGATGAATTATTTGAATTATTGCATATTTGTTTGTTTTTTAAACTCAGAATTAACTTTTGGTCGAATATTTGAGTCATTCTGACTGGAAACACTTGATGAATTTTGACGAGACTTTGTGGTTCGGCAGAGTGAGCTCAAGCTGGTTTCCAGTTCTCTGCTGAGAGTTCGCTTTCTTCTCTCCTACAATGTGAACTCGTGAGTGGGATGTAAATAGATTACCACATTGTGATTCAACTTCAATTTATTCACCAGTTCACGATCATATTCACCTCGGGGTAATGCATAATGCAAAGACCCTGCAGAATGTGAGAGAGAACCTCAACAATTAGACAATTCACTGTGAGCAACTGTGGGGAGAAAGAACTCCCCTTTGATAGGAAGCAAGCTCTGATAAAGCTCAGGGAGCAGCAGGTGTCTACTGCGACTAGTTGGAGGGCGGAGGTGTATCTGGTGTGTGTTGGTGCATCATCATAACAGCGCTGGTCCCGATCCAGCCAATCAGACATGTTCGTTCTGTTTCTGTAACCATAACGTTGTTTTCTTTATTCATTTTCTTTTATATTATTCTTTTATCATTTACGATGCTCGTGTCGGTTTGCTTGTGATAATGTTTAAGTAGCAAAGTCTTGGCTAATGCTAACTGATGCTCAGACAACACGATGTTGATCCTGGACCAACGTGAAGGCTCCTTTTTATAAACACGAGCGTTTGGTACTTAAACTTTTTTTTTTTTTTTACATAACTCAGATTCAGAAATGAGAAAAAAAGTTTTGTATTACAGTTAAATTCATGCCTCAGGTTCTCAGACGACGTGATAACTTCTGCGTTTGGATCATACAGGACTCTTCATCGTTTAAATACAGCACCTGACTCTTCTGCATCGGGAGCTCAGCTGAGACAAAACGTTTAAATATTTCCTCACTTCAAATCATATTTTCACTCTCAGTCTGAAAACAGGATTACCGGCCTGCTTCTGTCGTTATTTTTCCACTGCGAGAGTTTAAACAGCTTCTGTTTACTTAAATTCGGGTTTTGGGCCGGGCGTCTAAAACGGTTTGAAGCTCACCACAGCTCGATGCCTTTCTCATCTCTCACTGTGGTAATGTTAGTGGGCAGTTCTGTAACCTTCAGCCTGCTGCACCTCGGCTCGTGTCGCAGAGAAGATGAGACCCGACTCCGCACAGTGTGGCGGCGCGGGTGGGGGACGAGGAGTCCTTTCAGATTTCACAGCTGATAGAAGGAGTGAACAAGCGTGGAGAGAAAAGCCCGAGTGTGGCGTGTACCTCACTCCGTCAGGACTGCAACACCAACACACACACAGCGCAGTCACGACACAGCGGCCGCATCTGTTCAGCTCCAGTCGCCCGTGCGGTCGAATCCTACACGAGGCAGAGGTCTCCATGTGAGCCCCCTTTATCGCTATGTTTGATGACAAACGCTTTCCTGTGACTGTGGTTTAAAACAGCAGCCAGACAGGTACGAGATTTGACCGGAAAGGATTTGTCAAATGAGCTCTCGGCGCGGGTCTGCTACCAACCCCCGGCGATGAGGATCACATTATCGGAGCCTCTGATAGGATGTGACCTTTACCCCTGGAAGCTTTCCACCTTTCTGTCGTTTAGTTTTAACGCCTCAAAGGTCTCCCTGCAACAACAACTCAAAATCTCGCAAGCAGTTACTGAAATATACTTTATTGTTCCAGAAAAAGACAAGAAGGCATGACAGAAAACACAAGAAACAGGATTAACTGAGACGCTTTTATGTAACGCTAATATTCAATTTCCTGCCCTACAAATCAAAACAACAGCTGCCCGGCGAGGACGCTTTCCACTGTTTGTTCATCCGCCGCCGTCCGTTAATGAACGCTCCCCTCGTAATGGGTTTCTATGTGATTGCAACATAAACATGATTAACTGGAACCGTGATGCAGGCGTCTCATTCCATCCCAGGCAAACGGTTATTTCACGGATACCCAGATATGCCGATTTTTCTCCGCTGCGCGCACGGATCATTGGAGTGGAATTAAAAATGCCTCGGCAGGTTGGCTCTTGTTCCATGTCAAAGTGAATCAGTGCTGCTTGTTGTGAAAGAGTCTGAGCGGTGCGACCGGGACCCGTGTTTACAGAAAAAGGGGGAGACTCGGAAATGCACAACTTTAAATAAAAGGCGCCCATATCATGACACTGTACGTTTAAAGAATCTTAATTTGAACTCAAAACACAAGGCTGGCTTCACCCTAGATAACGTTCCCTAATTCCTTACATCCTCTCGTACGTCTCCTTATCTTTAAAAAACAGAAGAAATGGAGCAGCGGCGGCCTCTGTGTGCTCCAGATAAAACAAGCTGACCAGCACCGCCTCCGATACTGCAGAACACCATCACATTAATATTCGCGTCCCAGAGTGCTGTTTTGATAAATAAAGTCCGTTTCAGTCTGCTCCTGGCCAGTACAGGTCCTTCACCATATACGGTCCCTCCAGCTCGTAGCCCATCTTCCTGTAGTAGTTCCTTGTTCCTACACCTGCAGGATGAATCACAGCGTTCTCAGTGTCACAGGACCCAAACATTCACATCACCGGCTCCTGATAATGTCTCAGTCTGACACACGCAGTGACATTATTGGCTCGTCACAGATAAATCTGTGTTGTTCACGAGGCCTCAGCACACTGGGCGGGCCCCCTGTTTGATTTGACAAAGTCTCATCCCGGGATCAAACCGGGGATCCGTCTGTTGTTAGGTGAATGTGTAAACCAGCACTTAAAAAAATAAGTAGTCAGTTATTACAGCGTACAATTCAGTCTCGGCCACATCTTCAAAAACACTTCTCCTCTGCTCCTTCAGATTAAAAGCATCAAATTTCTGGTGAAGGGTAAAGATTTTTCCTCCTTTCACTGTGGTCTCCGTGGTTACAGTTACTAAAGATTGTCTACTTTTACAAACTAAAGTGTTTGTTTTTTCTGGGTCAGAACTGTTCACATCGTCTGCATCGACTCACCTGATATAACAGCCAGTTTGCAGGAGCCGTGCTCATCCCTGGCGATTCTTTCAGCCTCCTCCATCAGCATCATGCCAAACCCCTGCACACGCAACACAAATACAATCGGTTTGAAAACATTCAGAGCTTCTGAGGTTCGGCCGGTGTGGAGAAAAACTCGGAGAGGCTCGGAGCGAAACCGTCACGGGCATATCTGTTGATGTGTGTGAAAGTGTAAGCCACCTGATGCTGGAACTTGCTCGGGTCTCGGCTGCTCACAGGGACCACGCTGCCATACACGTGCAGCTCACGGACAATGGACACGCCTCCTTTGAGCTCCGGGCGGAAGGACTGTGGAGAGCAGCGGCGCAGCCGCAACAGACCGATCAGGATGTCCTGCTCAGGGTCTTCATAGGAGAGAAAGGTCTCCCAGCCGCTGTTGGCCACATAGTCTCTCCGTATCAGCTCCACCTGCACACAGACATCTGTGTTAGGGAGCATCAGGAAACCACAACGTCTCCTCGGCCCGTCTCACGCTGCGAGTGAGGGCGTCGGTTACCTGGTAAGGTCGGACTTTGTGGTGGATCTCTTGGATGCCCACTTCCCGGGTTCTGACGTCACGACACTGCAGGCGCACAAACCCACACACACACACACACAGACAAATTAGAAAGTCCAATCACCTCACAGCTATTACAGCTCATCAGTATAATGCTCCTGCACATGCAGCTTATATATAAAATAGGGGTGGGGGAAAAATCGATACTGTGTAGTATCGTGATATTTTGTATCGATGCAGGGACGGCAGAAATCGATATTTTGTTACAAAAAGGTTTTTGTGCTCTGACTTCAGAGCATGTTGATCCTTTTTCTGAGCAAGAATCCTGACATTCCTTCACTGTCCAAATGTGTTTAACTTGTTTTGGCAGCAATAAGCATGACAGTTTACTTATTTTAATTTAAGACATGTTTTATTTTAATTACGTTTAAAACTTTTTTATTTAATGTCAAATTATATTTTGTTTTAATTTACTTTCAAATTCTTCAGTTGCTGAAGGGGCTGCATAGTTTTCATAAATTGCATAGTTCAGAATAGCTGTAATTGTACCAGATGGTTGCATTCAGTTAAGTTGGACTAGACTGTAATACAAACCGTTCAGTTTGTCAACAATAAAACTGAAATGAGAGAAAGACTGAGTGCGAGACTTTGATATTAGAGAAAATGAATATTGATAAAGTTTACCTTTATGTACAGAATCTAAATATTGCAAAATATTTTAAAAATTGCAATAATATCGTATCGTGAGTTAAGTATTGTGATAATATCGTATCGTGGGATGTATGGTGATTCCCACCTCTAATATAAAACAGACTTTTATCATCTCAGATTTCTCACAAGTTAAATGTGGCTCCACGTCTGGACCTGCAGTCTAACTGCACACAGTCACAAAACGATAGACAGGAAGTGTGACTGTGGGCTGCGGTGTTACCTGCTCCTATGCAGATCTAAGCCACGGCTGAAGCCACAGGTGAAACGTTTTCAGAAAGACGCAACACGTCAGCGAGCTGTTGCTGGAGGTGTTACCGTGTTAGACGGTCGTAAGTCACTGATGACAGTATGGAGCCCCATTAGGGATCTGGGGGTGTGGGGGGGCTCGACTGTTTATCTGTGTAAATGCTGATCAGCTGGTTAGCTGAGGTGTGTCCCTGCTGTAATGTGAGGAGCTCTGTCGGCGTGTGCAACACGAATTCAGACCACAGCAATGCCTAAAATCAAACTGGAGCCTCGTTGGCACCGGTCCCTCCTCTGCTGTCAGCAGCTGTCTAAGCACAGATAAAGGGCACTTGCTGTTACCACGGTAACCGCTGTGTCTCCAAATGAACCAGGCCTGAAATCTTACGGATTCGAACTTTAAAGCTTTCTGTTTCAAGGATGGCCAGCTGTGTCTTAAAGGGGACCATTTCTGCTCATTTCCAGCCTCAAAGTTTTATCCTTGGATTCTAGAGGAGCTCAGCGTTGCAGCGGCGAACACGACGCATCCCCGGGTCGAGGCCAGGAGGAGACTCGAGTCCAGCATCAAGAAGCACTGGCTCCAAGCCCGGGTAAAGGGGAGCTATCATCTTTCCTAAAATCAAACGTGCACGTCCATCTGCTACGGTGACCTCTCAGGAATAAGTACCTCAGCTGTAGAGTCGCTGCGCGTGACTCCCAGCTCAAACTAATTCGTATTCATCCCGTCTGACACGAGTCGTTTGAGCTCCACCTCCTCACTCGAAGGCCACATTCATTCAGCTGTTCTGCCCTCGAGTGCTCACGGCGGTTTAAAGCCTGAACTACAGACTTCATCACAGCATTAGTTGTGTTTAAAACAGGGAAAGAGTTGAGGTAAACAAAGAGGAGCAGCTTTCTGCAAACCAGCTGGAAAAGTTTGCAGCGTCAACAAGAGAAGGAGGTCAAGTTTGAATAATTTGGCATCACAACATCAGCATAACAGCGCAGAGCTGCGTGTGAGATCGACGCAGCGTGATTCTGGTTCGTAGCCGTGTGTGGAGCTCAGCCACACAGGCGTGAGGGTAGTTGGTGTTTTTGGGAAGAGCAGCGCAGAGCTCTTTCTGTGGTGGCGTTTCAGCTCGGCTCTCGCTGTCTGATAACGGCTGCTTTTTAAATCCAGTCTCTTTAAACGACGCTCTGCAGCTGCTGACTCGCGCATGTGCAGCCCAGCCTGGTGTTTTCAGCTTGGCTGGGCTCGTACCCACGTTCTAATCTACTTTCTACTTTCCAGCATAAATTCAATAAATGCTGGAGGAGGCCGGCTGGGCGGGAGGGTACGCAATTCTGTGCTCCAGCAATCCTCAGCTACACCTGTGTGGCGTTTTAATCTGTCATCTTACCCACAACAGCTACAGCGGGAAAATTATTCTCACAGTCAGCAGTTGCACGTTGGCAGTTGTCGCCACTCGAGTTCAACTGTTCTCCCCTTTTGTGGGATCAAATCCCAGCTGGAAAACACCGTTAGCTTCCTTCCTTAAAATAAGCTGACGCACAGCATGTCAGGCCTTATAGTCTCACCTCAGTGCCCATGTCCTTCATCCTGGCCAGTGCCAGCTCTCTCAGGTTGCCGTGCTCCACACCAGAGCTCACCAGCGGCATGGGGATGTCCCTGATGGGCGGATGATACAAGAAATGACTGAACAGCAGAGGCGCTCCACATCTTTGGTACAGTACTGTGGTTTTCTGCACTAACAGAATTTCTTTTTTATACAGAAGCAGCTCTGCTGTCATGCTTCACGCTCACATTCACACCTGAGGGAAATTTAGAGTCACCAATTAACCTGACCCCGCCCAAACAAAAACACTTTGGGGTTCCTGTAGGAACCGTTCATCTCAGCTTCATCTCCACATTTTTATTCTTGCACTCCATTCCTGTAGCTTTGCATAAGTCACACCTCAAATTAATTCCTATTAGACGTATAAAATAGCTGCAGATTCTACTGTAATAATCGTCGCTGTGGTGGCTGTAAAAAGACAAATGAGTATTTTACATTACATTTGGATTGTACTCAGTTATGGCCCAAAAAAGACATTTTGCACACACGAGGATATTTAATATATCTAAGGAATAAAATAAAATAATAAAATACAATCCACTGAATATTTTGCAGTATTTTGATGTTTTTAGCACAAAGTTACCTGAAAAACTGGCCACCGTTCTTTTTCCCGGTGTGTGTGTGTGTGTGTGTGTGTGTGTGT